TTCACTCATTCCAATCACACTGGTTCTAATCCCATTTTAAGTACTATCCGCCAAAGATTTAATTCAAACCGCAGTGCATACAGATAAGTTGTGTCCACTGGGAATAGGATAAATTGTGGTTGACGCAGGTTTTCATATACTCGGACAGCATAAAACTATTTTCACTTACTTTTGATTGCATTCATTTCACTGGATGAATGAATGCCAGTTTTTATCACGAAAAGGGCAGCATTTCAGAAGAAGTCGTCCATTCTGACTTCAAACTTGTTTCTCTAGAAATCTGCACATTCACTCTCATTGTCTTGAAACTCAACACAATTAAACAAGAAAGACAGAAACAGTCATCCACTCCATTCGTTCAGCATGAGAAGTGGCAGTAAAAGTTGAAAATCTAGAAGGTCGTCACTTCACGGATAATTCATGTCACATGTCACACAAACTTGGAGGTATACAAGCGAATACCAAAAATAAGGTGAATACATAGAAGACGAAGTGGCTGAACAAACACTCCCAAGCACCAATTGTGGCAGAACGATGATTTCGACCATCCCACCTGGACAATCGAATCACAATATTCATACACATTCGGATGTTTCAACTAACTCGATAATTACTACCTGTTCATCTCCTAGACTGGTTCAACAGAATACTATGCATATTTCAACTTCCTATTTCATGTTGTTTGAAGTCAACTGAAATCAAACAACCAGTGATTGATTAAATAATATAAACTCCAGTTTTACAAAACAACGATTTGGTTATTCAATAATATACCTTGACTACTGTATCATCCATTCTGCTGTAACAAAATTACTGAGGAATTTTACCAACAGCTGTAACGCAATGATAGTCATGAACAAATAGCAAAAAACGAAAGAAATTTAACAGGCTGCAGAGAGGGAAGAAAAAGAAAAACTTGTTACATTACACATATACAAATATACCCAGAGACTGTATATTACATCAAGCCACAAAACGTTCAATGAAGACATAAGAAAGGTTGTATGAATAAGAAGTAAAGGATTCTGGAAGTTAGTGTAGCCAGTTATAGGGGAGAGCGGAAAATCGAGTGTAGTGGAGATATGCCTCTGAAGCCCTATGTTCAACATGGAACTCAGGAGGTCAATAAGAAGGAGAAGAAGCAGGAGAATTTACGCCACACTTTGAACTTTCCAATTATTTCGCTACTCAGATTAAATCATCGTTCTTTTTGCCAATATATGCATAGTGGCTACTAGCAAGTAACCAGTCTCTCCTTTACAAAATAAACCATACTCAAACTTCGAGTGAATCAGTTAGTCACCTGCCTCACTTCACTGTTGAAAATACAGTCTTAATCAAGTCAACTGGAACCTGAATCAGGAAGCAGAGGAAAGACTTAACTTCAATTATTTCGACTGTGAACAAACAAGTGGGTCTAAAAATTGTAAATCTTCTGATATCGTTCTCACAAACATGTCTTCTCAAGTTCGTTACAGAGTTTGAGTTGCAAACTAACTATAAGCTGTAATGTTCCAGACTATTTCGTTACAGTGAAACAATCTGCATTCTGTGTAATGCGAGGTTAACTGATTTATCCGACTGAACTTTAGTGTTAGTAGTCTTGGCCTCTCCGTGTTTATACACTTGACTTCAACATTTTTGCAGTGTCCATGTAGGCACATCTAAGTGTTTCATGGTATTCACAACTAGTAAGGCAAATTATCCACATTCACCAAACTCATATAAACACTTATTGGCAACTAAGCGTTGAGCTTCCTATTCAGCAAACTGCCAAAATTGGAAAGCAAAAGTGACTTTGTGAAGTCATTGGCTTTCCCCGCGCGTTTGCTAATACAGACAGTAGTGGTCACCTATGTCTCATTCAAGTGGTTACTTCTTTTCACTACCATCCAATCTTAGCAAAATGCACAGACTCTACAACCAGCAATCACAACGTATTGGTATCATCGACACGAATATAAGTATGTTATTCAGGCCTCTAACAGCAGGATGACACTCTTATTATTGTCATGTTCCTGAATGAACCTCTTGCTCACGAGAGAATATGATAATTACTACTCGTACAACAGTCCGCAGTATTAGTCTATTCTGTGGTAGGCCTCTGAATCATTTCTCAGTGTGCGTGGTTGCAGGAACACGCCAGTCATCCTTAATTCCAGTATCACGAGTTACCTATTTTACCACACTGCAAGCTATCAACAATACTGCGATTCCGAACTCTCCTACTATTCAACAGCTAACTAAATTACATAATCGTGTTTATCTGTTTCGATCGAGCACTTCAGTCCAATCGATCATCGGAAAAGTCTAAATTGAATTAATGATAATAACAACTGAGGTGGAGGTCAACAGCACTCAGCATCAAAATTAAGATCCGGATTTTCAACTCCAATGTGAAGTCAGTGCTACTTACTATACGGATCAGAGACTTACACTGCGCGTCATAAAGAGCATCTCAAACAAACTACAGACCTTCATCAACAGCCAGTTGTCTTCGCTCAATACTCAAGATCAGATGGCCGGCCGGCCAGAAAAGATCAGTAACAGAGATCTCTGGCAATGAGTGAACCAACCAGGAACCGATTGTGAAACAAATAGGCAGGAAGAAATGGAGATGGATTGGCTGGCCATACTCTGAGGAAACCATCAAGTGACATCACTAGACAAGCCATTGCTCGAGTGGAACCCGAAAGGGAAGCGGCGAGAACCGAACTCAATGGAGACGCACGACTGAAGCCCTATGTTCCTCTAGGAATTAAAGGAAGCAATAATAATAACAACTGATAGTCGTTGCAGAACAGGTGGCTCTCGTGACTCAATCGTTGAAGTGGATAGCGATTGGCGCATCTTGAATTCTACAGGTAATCGCCACCCACCAAAGAATGTCCACTATTCCTTTATCCAAACTTATCTCATTAGGCGTTGTGTTTCAAATGCTTCATTTCAACCAGATTTAATACGTGGATGAACTGTTCAATGCGCATTTATATCAAACACACAATCTTCATGTTTCCCCTATCAGTTTACGAACTAAGTCACTTAAAATTCAGGTTATTAGAGACTATTCCAAAACAAATGTGTTTACATCATTTTCGACTAGACGGGAACAAATTCATGAGTCCAAAGTACCTGCATAATATCATAATTATTCATTCTTTGCATCTCCAATAGAATGGAGCACTTCAGTAAATCTCAGGACCAGACCAAACTCGTTCAATCTGACTCAGGTTCTACTCGAAGACCTGGTGTGAAGCGTAATTTAAAGATCTTCTTAGCGCACATTCAATCCATCTATCTGACGACTCGCAGTCAGACTTCCTCGAATTTTACTATTTCTTGTCGGTCATTCGATATTCGGAATAGAGAGAAAGTGGCTGTGAATGAAAGTCTGTAGTGATCTGTTGGAAATACTTCTGGTGATACGCTCATCAAGTCTATGAACTATGTGGGAGCACCGACCCTTTTGACATTAATATTGAAAATGCGTGTGTAATCCTGATAACTGAAAATCACCACATTAATTTCAGAGTAATGGACACCTATCCTAATCTGTCAATACTACCAATAACATCTCCATCACTGTTCCATATTTCCTACTTTTCCTCCTACACATCAACCGATAATTAGGAAGTCAGTCGACATTTTAAACCAGCCACGATACTCTTTATTCGGCCAAAGTTTATTCCATCCTACTTTGCACTCGTTACTCTGTATACCGTCTCACCATGGCGAAGGCAACCATCAAAATCATTGAAAGCCATTAGGTCAAGAAAAAATGTGATAAGTTTGTATTACATTTACTAATAACGATTCTACAGAAGTAAAACTAATAATGTGTGCACTGAAATAACAAGTTGTCTCAGAAAACAGAAATCTGCTTTATCCAAAGCTAATCAAGTGTCAATGAAAATATTACAAAATAAAATACATAAGTCATCAACCATTATTATTATGGGACAAAATTCGAAACATCGCACATTATCTGGGCAAAAGTTATTGTAGAACAAAGTAGATGATTGCACCAATAACTGCAACTCCTGCGAGACAGCCGAATACAATTGCCACAATTATTCCTGTTCCTATACCTGTCACGAATATGATAACAACACAATGTAGTGTGATTAACGAAAAATAAGCGCAAAGGAGTTTTTACACACAAATAGAAATCTGATAAAACAAACGTAATCTTACGGTAGAGATGACTTTAGGATTTGTGGATTTCTCACAACAGTTTAATTACAAGCTGTCAGGGTGCCACAAATATTTGATCGCTAATTTAGAGAGAACTTTCCCAGCTACTTAAAACTTCATTCTACATGCACATTCGCTGTGTCTAGCCAACGACTTCACCTCTTTCATCCTGAGATGCTTGTTTATCACTATTCACTGTCAAATATTTCTCATGCACCCACAAACATGATACGTGATGTCTTTCGTTTGTTTAGGCATGAGGAAACAACATCACAGTCTCTATGTCGAAATCACAAAGATCATGTTTACATGAGGACGTAAGTATACCACATTGCGTCACTCTCTGCAATAAGCATGTGCGTGCGTGTGTGTGCCTTTGTAGTCCTCTTCATTGTTTAGAATAATTCATAAGGGAGTTGTCGTCACTGAAGGGAAATTAAGGAAAGAGTCAAGACTCCTTCGAGTGGAGCGTGAATAGGAGGCGATGAGTTGGCTGTGCTGCCAGCGTAAAATGCAAGAGGAAATCAAAGTGATCATGCAATTGATTGAGAGCGACTTCAGAGAATCGAGTGAAATAGAGGTGTGCTCCTGAAGCTCTACGCTTCAGTCGAAAACCAGTCAATGAACAGTAGTAATAATGATAATAATTTCATGCTGAAATAAATGGAAAATGTGATGTAAATATCTACCTAACTGAAGTATAGTCAAGATGAAATGAATTCAGCCTTCGTATTATAAAATGACGACAAAATAATTAAGCTAATAACACTCTGCATGAATACCATTCAATTAAAACACCGACTCACCGCCTTTGCCTTTTGAGTCATCAGGTTTACGCGTTGAAGTAGAAGTATCCATCGTAGAAGTTGTCACTGTAGTCTTAGCTGCACCTTCAGAAGTGGTTCCACTCATAGTGGTAGTCTCAGGAGTGGTTTCACCCATAGTTGTAGTCCCTGGATTGGTTTCACCCATAGTTGCAGTCTCTGGAGTGGTTCCACCCATAGTTGTAGTCTCTGGAGTGGTTTCACTCATAGTTGTAGTCTCTGGAGTGGTTTCACTCATAGTTGTAGTCTCTGGAGTGGTTTCACCCATAGTTGTGGTCTCTGGAGTGGTTCCACCCATAGTTGTAGTCTCTGGAGTGGTTTCACTCATAGTTGTAGTCTCTGGAGTGGTTTCACCCATAGTTGTAGTCTCTGGAGTGGTTTCACCCATAGTTGTAGTCTCTGCAATGGCTTCAGCCACTTTGTTATCATTATTTACGTTTGGAGCTCCGTCCTCTTCGTCGTCTGCCGGTGATTCTTCATCTGCCCTATCTATGTTTTCAGCTCCTACCACTGGTTCTGCTGCCACTGCTTCTGCTGCCACTGGTTCTGCTGCCACTGGTTCTGCTTCCAGTGAGCCGTCATTATTCTGTGATCTGACTAGTATCAACTGCAGTATGCAAATAAACACTACGGAGAACTTCATTGTATTTTTGTTTAGCGTTCGATATTGTCTGGAAAGTCATATGAAAATAAACTGTTCAGTTAATCAAAAATTGTGCATTGACTGTGTGATCCACGTCACATAGTATTCTTAGCAAAGATGCGTTCAAATTTCAGGAAACAGCATATTGCCTTAAACATGAAATAACAAGTCCTATAAATATGAGATAATGTTACTGTCAGTATTGCACTCATCGATAACCGTGTTGCTTGTTAAGAGTATCTTAATTTTCATCACAATGATAGTTGAAACAGAGGTGTCTATTCAACACTAAATCTTTTTCCCTTGCATAAGCTGGTGTCAGTATCCAAATTGTACGTCGGTGCCATCAGTGTTAGAGTGCTCACCAACCACGAATTCCGGTTGAGTTTAATTCCTGTCTCAATGCTGTCTTAAGCCTCACACACTACCAGTAGTCAGCTCAGCTTCGTTAAGAAAACACGACTACACTGAAACGTGGAACGTATTAAAGCACTTCACACTTTACAAATTACCATTATCATTATTTTTATCATTATTCATAGATTATTGTGTTTAACTTACTTCAGAATACTGCCACGCAGAGATGAAGCAGAGAATTCAAGACCTGAGGTTATTTATAGCGGAATATCTTGTCTGTGATGAATATACAATGCTCACCTGCAGGTTTATATAGTTATTTATAATAATTATTATTATCATTATTATTATTACCATTATTATTACTGGACAATGTACTTTCTGTTTACTCAACTCTCACTGGCACCCAGTAGTAAATACCCTACACGATGTGTCCTTCATTCACGTGAAACTCAACAACATAAACAAAGTTATCTACCTACATACAAAATATTCACATTCATTTGTTACTGAGAATTAATAATATTAAGGCCACTAATTAATTAACAATATTGATAATAACAGTAGGTAATTAGGCAGAAGAATAGAAGGGGTAAAGCATACGACCAAGCCTCTGTTTGCATACATTGAAATAATCATAGGAGTATTACAAAGTTAGGAGGGCAAGTTATAAGTTGATGTGGAGTGCAAAATTGACAATACATGGTATGTGAGACCAGAAATAAAAATAGTCAAATCAACATTGTGGATAACGACTGAATGGTGCTCCATGTGGGTTTTAGATCTTCACGTGTTGTTCCCTCAATAACACGGTTTACCGAAAAGGCAGAAATCCAAGGGGACTCTCCGTTCCACATCAGACGTCTCAATCAGATTATCATGAGAATGCAAAGTCGCTGGTTAGGGTAGTTGAATACCTAGTAAAACGCACTATCAATCTACTGCTAAGATTAAAAATAATTTGAAATCAACACATACATGTGTCATCCATTGATGCGTCCTACTTATTCATCAATAACGTGCCTCTGGTAGACGGCATGCATTATATATGACACCAGATTATAGACCGACTATGGTGCCCGCATATTCACATTAACATTGTGAGTCATTTGCTGGATGAACTGTGAAGCCTTCCAAGCCAGCCTCGTAAATTGCACAGACATTCCACGTCCCCAATCTTATCCTTGCTTTCATAGGGAGAAGACACATTGGCTGGATGACTGGCTTCCTGAAGACTAGCTTTCACCAGCCTACTGTGTCATTTCGCCTCTCCGACTCCAGCGAAGAATAAGATTACCGTTTGAATTTTTTGTATTTTTAACATATTTCTTGTGCTTCGAAGTTTCTCCAGCAGTTTGATAGGTTTAGTGGTGTAGGGTTGCTAGCAACAGACCAAACCCTACCTCCATAACCAGGCCTGGGACTGGATAGGGAACTAGCAAGTTTGTCAACTAGGCGAGGTCAAGGAATATATAAGCTATGAAAAGGTTAGGTAGAGTAAAAACTGCAGGTCAGTGAACAAAGAAGTGAAGAAGAATGCTTGGAAAGACAAACGATAGCGAGCTAGTTAACTAAGCGAGGTTATTATATACATTATTTGCAATTAATAGTGTTCTCTGAGCTGGTTGGTTTAGTTGCGGAGCTTTCGTCGTCCTTCTGGACAACATCTTCAGCGCCATATTTAGCATAAAGTGAAATGATTTAAATTTCTTCATAAGTGATATAACTGCGTCTCCTGGTAACCATCTTTACATATGTATTGACCATTTTCTGTTCACTTGGATTTTAAACTTTCTGGTCACCTGATTTACTTTTTATTAGTTGGTATATTTCGTCTATATTAACGTGCTTGTTAATTGCATTTTCGTTTGAGTACCAGGCTTCTAGGAATTCCCTGACTGCACTTCTGGTGTTTCCTCTGTCTAAGATTTTGACATTATCCCAATCAAATTGACGACCATAATTGTCTATATGCATTGATACAAAAGAATACATATCGTGTCGTTTCACGGCTGATTTGTGTTCTTGAATTCTGATTCGAAGGGGACGCCCACTTTGGCCGATGTAATGCATGTTGAAGTTCATACAATTTATTTTGTAAATGGTATTAATTTTATCCCCTTTTTCTGTTGGATCTTTCGGTTTGCATAATATCTAAATAAGTGATTTGACTGGCTTGTGTGCTATATCTGTATCAAACGGTTTCAGTATTCTAGCTGTTATTTCAGAGATATTTCTCGTGTATGGTAGAATGAGTTTTCTTGTGGTCTTTGATAATGGTCTTTTGTTGGTGTTTTGATTCGACTTTAAACACTTCTTGATGAAATTTTGTGGATAGCCATTCTTTTTGAAGACCGTTTGTAGGTACTTTTCCATTCTTTTCAACTCTGGAGTGCTACAATGTGTTTGAACTCTTTTGAACAATGTCTGCACACAGTTTCGTTGGTGAGTAACTGGATTATTGCTAGTTTAGTTGAGTATTTGATCTGTAGGCGTTGATTTTCTATATACTTGTGTTTCTAAATATCCTGTGTTGGTTCTCCTGATTAAGACATCTAAAAATGGGATTTTGTTATCTAATTCTTCTTCTCTTGTGAATTTGATGTCTTCAAATATGTTGTTTATTAATTTATGGGTATATTCTAAATCATTTCTCTTAATTATTTCAGATGTATCATCAACGTAACGTATCCAGATTTTCGGTTTAATTATAGGTAGAGCTATTGATTCTATTATTTGCATAACAGCTTCAGCTATTAATCCTGATATGGGCGATCCAATTGGTGTTCCTTTTATTTGTTCATATATTCGAGTATTGAACTGCAAGTATGTTGTAAGACATAATTTTATGAGTTCTATCCAAGTAGATAAATGCGTTTCTATGTTTCCATCACTATAGAGTAATTGCTGCAGAGTTTCTGTTGCTAGTTTTGGACTAATTGAAGAACATAATGATATGACAAAAAAGGACACCATTATTTCATTGTCTTCTAATTCAATGCTTAACATTTTCTCTAAAAATTGGATTGACGAATTGATAGAATGGTCGCATGATTCATTATTCATAATTCTTTCGCATTTACACATATCATGTCATGCGTTGTATGATATTAACAACTATGGTCGTGACAACTCATCACTTTTGTTAATCCCCTATTTCATGAGATAAACATTGCATATAAACGCGACTGTACAGCTTAATGAATGAATTCACTGAAGAGAGTCTCTTCACTCAACTGCCTTTCTTTTACTCGTTAGTGTCTTGATGGGGATCATTCATGAAATGAAATGAGATTTGAGTCACACAATGGTTTATGAATGACCAATCGTAGTATACACCTAATTCCTCTCTGTTATGCATACACTCATAGGTAGTAGATAAACTCTTCCACATAAATCCAAAGAAAACATATAATATTTATGTGTATATGCATCAACATGTGCAAAGATTTTGAAATAGACCTTGAGAAGAAATATATCGCCAAAAGATATCATCATTTCGTAGTTTTTTCACCATCACTTCACAACTAGGAGGGTTCACATGACTGAAATAAGATCTGTGAAAATTACACATTTACAACAGTAGTGCATTCTATGCATGTCCAAACCAAGTTCACTATCAACAGTTTGAAACAATTTGAGCATTCGGTGTATGATATTCATTATAATAAAGGCTTTTGTATTTCCCAGTATCGTTTTGTTTTTCATTCATTGGGAAATACAAAAACCTTTATTATAATGAGTAGTACATACTAATAACCTAATAGAGATTTCGTTGGTTAGACAATATCATCCAGTGTGCATTAGTTCAGGTGATAAGGTTTTCTGTGGGTATTTCATAAGATCTGAGTAACTTGAGTTACACAAGCTACACTTCTTTCGACTGCCTACAACATATTTTTCGCTTTTACGCTGTGAAGCACAAATATTGTAGTATAAGTTGTAGTAGTAGTAATAGCAAAAGTAGTAGCAGTAGTAGTAGTAGCAGTAGTAGTAGTAGTAGTAGTAGTAGTAGTAGAATTAGTTGTATTTGTGCTGGTCATTATAATCAGACCGAAATTCCTTAAGATGATCAATAATTATTATTATTATAATTATAATAGTGTAGTGAAAGCCTTACTACTTTAGACTATTCAGTCCTGTATACTAATTACTCTGTGAGTAATTATGCTGACCTTCATTTTCTTAATTATAGGTAGACTTTGTGAAGATAAACACAATTTACGAATTGTACACAGTGATAGACACAAAATGTGGAATGTTGAGATAGTGAACCGTAGGTGCGAATACAAATCTTCTTTTATTCAAGTAGGTAAAACTGCAGACGTCTTAATTCAAACTCCTTCGATCCACTATCTTATCACTAAACATTGCTCACTCATTTTACAATATTTACACAAATAATGTCAATGATGACCTATCCGACATAAATGTCGATAATGCAGAAATTGAAGAAAATAATAAAGTAAGTAGACAACAATGAATTCAACGAAAAAATTCATCCCATCCGATTCTACGAAGTCACATTTTCATAGTGTACCCAAATCACACAAAATCACTATTCCATTGTATGCATCACAAGATGTTAAGTTATGCCATCCAACAGCATACTGATGGTGTTGGATTCTCAGAGGTGAAGCAGTCAGACACTAAGTTTTGTTGTTTCATTTAAGAATGGCGATCTGCTAGGTGTCGATTCTCCCTTCTCAAATGTTCTATCTACAAGAACCGTCTAATTCTGATTTGACTTCCCTCATTTCCACAATATCCACATTTGTAATCAGTGTTTACAAAGTTGTCTGTACCGCAATGTCCTTCAATGCATAGATCAGGTTGAGCAAGCAAAGTTGTGAATGAATAGATGTTATGATAACAAATCTCTCTTAACCACCCTTCTTGGTCGACTGTATTATTTCATGTGAAGGAAAGACACGACTGTTGATAAGAATAAGTCAACCTGAATTCAAATATTGTTTCTTGATTCGCAGAGTTGATTATTCTTGTAATTTGAGGCATAAAATTTATGCATTTATCTTTGTTCAATATGGGAGAATTATACATCGAAGAGACTGATGATACACAAAACTGCTGTTAAGTGTACTAGAGTAGAGAACAGTTTTTAACTGAAAGTAAGGTATCTGATTACAGGTGAATTCAGACATGGATTTCCAAATCATGTACATAATATTATTAAATATATATTCTCCAAAAATGAATGGTAAAATCTCTACGTAATGCAAGCGTCACCATACCACAAATAATTTTGAGAATTTCTCATCATTTGTTA